TTTCTGGCCTCACATTTGGGACTGCATCAGCATATTCTCCATTGACTTTTCTGCTCTCTGGATCACAAGCTGCATCTTTCCTACTATGCAGCAGGGAAAAATGAAATGCATAATGTCAGACAAGTGTTTAACTAATATCCCCAGTGTGTGTATCTGGCAAACAGTGCATGATGTGGGAGGACAAAACACACACACACCAAGAAATGGGATTATAGAGGCCACAACTTTTCTGCTTGGAACCAATGAAAGACAAGCAAATGGGAGCACAGCGAAACTGCTGTACCAGGGGTCTCAAACTCAACTGACCTGGGGGCCACTGGAAGTAGAGTCTGGGTGAGGCTGGGCCGCATCAAGTATTCCACCACCGCGGTGGTGGTGGGCCGCTCATCCTGCATCGCTCCCGGAGGCCGGCCCAGGCGCCGCCGGCGCTTTGAAGGCCGCAGGGCCCCTCCCCCGTGCCCACCCGTCCCAGCAATTGGCCCGCGGGCCGTGAGTTTGAGACCCCTGTGCTATACTAAGTAAGGTGCCATCATTCTCTAATCTTCAACCAGCCATGAGGATGTCTGTGACTGGCCAGTCAGGCCACAGCCTGGGCCAAAGGGAGGGAGGTGCAAGTACAAGAACAAAATTGAGAGTCTGGTTTTGAGCCAGATCGGCACGTTCTGCTACCGCGATGGCTCCTTTGCTCTGTTTCACCATTGCAGAGACCTTCAGAGTCTAGTAGAAAGGCCAAGGTTTGCTTCTTAGGTGGCCTGTGTTTGAAAATAGCCAGGAGAGTCCACAGAGGTGGTTTGGACACTGTCATTTGGCTTCAGCCTATCTCAGAGGGTTGTTGTGAAGCTGAAATGGCAGTTTGCTCTTCATGAACACCGTTCTGAGCTACTTTTTTAAAAAGAGGCAACACAATAGTAACTGCTAATTGGTAAAATGCCTCTTCTTACTAGAAAAGCTGTTTGAGTGTCTTGTTATTCCTTAGTTTGGGGGAGGGTTTGCTGTGGATAATATCTTTGCAGCAAGTAAACCTTTGTGTCTTATCTGCAATATGTCATCTGTAGCAATGGCTGCTTGGTCATAATAAATAAATAAATAAATAAATAGTTCATGTTTTGCAGCTCTCAAACATCTGACATTTACCATATGTGGCTCTTCCATTGAGCAACTGGCCATCCCTGTTCTGTTAGAAAAAGTTTACATACACTAAGTTGTTTTGTATCTGAACTTATTTCATTTAATAATAATAAAAATAATCATGCATTAATAGAATGTATATACTTTAATCCTGGCTTGGGTTTTTGGTATCTGAATTGCGTATTTTATGTGATTTGTGGACTGGAGGTAAAACACCTGTTATGCCTCATTTAGTGCCACAAAGGTCAGGTCTGAGCTGTTTCTGATTGGTGTCAAAAGAGGCAACCATATTAACCAACCAGAACTCTGCTGGACATAGCCTAACTTCCCAACCACACACTTTAAATCTCACCCCAGCCTTGTTAATGCCCTACTATCTTCCATAGCAGCCAAGATGGACCTCGTAGCTGCCTTACATTCTCTTCTGTAGTTGCATGAATAAATGAGTGAATTATATTTTCCAATTTCAGAAAAGCCTATTTCCTTTTAACTGAGCTTGCTGTGAAGATGTGCCCTTTCAGTCAAAAGGGCAGCAGCCTGTTCTCACATCAGAACAACCCATGTTAGCATCATTTATCCAAGGGGTCTGTCCCATCATGCCAGGCACCTGTGAACATGTTGGCACGGCACCTATGGTCACCTTGTTTGCTGTGGTTGGCTGTCTGATTTAAACCCAGGCTGCAGGGATTGTGTGAGATTTAGACACCCCTTCTGCAAACCAGAAATAGGTCATGGGTACTTGGGTGCACGTCTCTCTCTCAAACAACTCCTGCTGCCTGAGCTCTCATGACATGAGAAGCCAAGCCAAGCCAAGCTGGGTGTCTGCAAGTGCCTGGCACAACATGGTGGCTCCCACAAGTAGAGTGGAGAGTCATGTCCTGCGAACCAGGGTACTATCTCAAATCCCATCTCTATACTCACTGGGCAGTTTTAGGGACCTCTCTCAGTGGGGCTCTGAAATCCAGCCCAAGCCATCTGCATGCTGGGACTAAATTAATTTGCCCTAAATAGGGAAAAAGAGAAAAGGTTTACAAGCACTTTGTTAGAGTGCTTGTAAACACCACTGCCTGCAACACCACTGGCCTGCAACAGTCCACATTCAGCTCCGTAAGATGAACCAGTAAGCAACACATAGCACAGCGAGACAATAGCGGGCACTTGTAATGTAAATATATGCAGCTTTGGATGACAAATGGAACGTGCATGGTTAACCTCAAAATTATTTTTAAATATAGTTTTAATAAGTAATGATTTTCTAGTAAGTATAAAATGAAGCCTATGCTGTGCACTTTCAAACGCCAAAAGGGACTGTTCACAGCAGAGCAACAAGGCTGAAAAGATGTTTGAAAGCAGATTGCACCAAGCATTGTGTGACCCAATAAACAATATTTGAAAGCAATTTCACATTACACTTGGAAGGTTTTGAGTACATCCCTTGGATACTGCAGAAATGATGACCGCTTCATTTACTTCTATGTAAATGAAAGCCTAGCTTTAGACAGGAGTGGGAAATAACTTATTAAGAATAAACTGGAATCTATCAACACGTATCTGAAGTTCACCGCTGAAGCTTGTTTATTTAAGGAACTCAAAAATATAAAACTGCAAGAAATTTTGAAGCCATGGCAGTAGGGAAAGTTTTCCTTGCATACCATCCTCATTCAAAAAGAAAAGAAAAAAGAAAAAGAAATTCGGGGGTGAGAAAAAATATATACAATTTCCTATCTAACCTTAGGACATAAAAGCTGTTATGAAGAACTAAAATCAGATAAAATTGTATTGTTTTATATATTTTTGAAACTTAAAATATTGTTTTCAAAATATAAGCTGTGTGATATTCAGACAATGTTATTAGTTTTAATTTACCCAGTGTTTAATTTACTTTGAGGTGGAACTGCACACTGAGACACTTTGAGAAATGTAAGGTCAAAATCAAAAAACACTTGCAGAAGCTTAGTTCTGAGGTTTCTTATGCTACAATCCTATACATTTCTATTCAGGCAAGTGCCATTCCATATACCTATTTTCAAGTAAGCATACATAGCAAGGGGATGCAAAAGAGGAGTTAAACCAGAACCTCAATGGATTTCATTCCACATGGGCTTTAGATTTCTTACCTGGAAAAGATGACATGGCAATGAAACTGGATTAGTTGTCTCCTCTTTCTCAAATATTCCCTCTGGGAAAAGTCAAAGTTCTGCATTTAGAGGAAATGATAATAATTTGACCAAGTTATGTCATGGCTGTGGGTATATGCCAGTGAAGGGTTTGGGGATTTTGAAAGGTGGTGGCAAAGTCATTGAAAGATAAAACTTTGCAGCTTTTGATTCACTTGGTAGAATGTTTCATTTGGCTTGTGTAAGTAAATGTAATGTCTTTTAGTGACTGCCAAGCTAAATCTTTGGAAGGCTGAATCATGCAAATACATGTGCATAAACAAGCGGACTGGCTATAGATATTAGAATCTACTTTCTGATGACTTAATTCTGCAACTGATTATATGTGCTACAGTTCTGTATCCCCAGTATATGTGTGCGCAAGAACATTTACCTTCAGCGGTCTGTAACAGAAAGAAAGCACCGGTCTTTCTTCACTCACCACACTTGAAATCCCAGAAAGCAATTGCTCCTTTTGAGTTTGAAGCACAGACCACTCTTGTAGAATATATTGAGAGACTTTCTTTTGAAAGAACAATTACAGTTTGCCAGTGGAGTGCTTACGTTTAATTGAATGTCCATTAATTAAATGTATCCATAGGGAGGGGCAGAGTGCTTAGTCCCAAGCCTTATCACCAACCTGCTGTTTCCATTGCAAGGCAAATTGCAAGGCTGTTTCCACTGCAAGAGGATGTGTGGCCCGCGGTATAATCCCAGGGTTTTCTGCAAACTATTTAAGGTTTTATCAAAGGAGAAGCAACTTGTTCTCACCTTTCTATAGCAACTTACTAAGAAACAGCAGAGAGCTTTCAATGCTGGGATATTATGAGTTGCTTCCTCCAACTCCTACTTCTTTTACTCTGAACTTGTTCCTCTGTACTAGTCCTGACATAGAAAATTCACTTCTGTTACAAAGAGCAGGAATAATGGCAACTGATTGGCTGCTTTTCACAGGGAAAGACTGTGATGGTGGAGTGGGCCCTTCCAGAACCTTAAGCATGTTGGCAATTGGCATGCATTTCAAGCTGAAGACCATATAAACTGCAGCCACCGTGTTAAATCAAAGATGGACACAGGAAAGGAAAGGAAGTTCCTGCAAATTTTACTTCGCTAACTGAAATGGCTATAGGGGGCAGCACTCATCTCTATTTCACATAAAAGGGAGAAAATTTTATTTTATTTTTTTTTGGAATTGTGTTCAGTATATTCAAAATTGTTTTTATCAAGTGCTATTAGTGATTGTATGCCACCTTTGAGTGTCATTTCTGTTATAGAAGTGTTGTAGAAGTCAAATACATGGACACACCACTTCAAGAGCTCCGGGGCTTGAGTAGTGTAAGGCATTCCTGGAAAACAATGTGCCTAGGGTAGCAGTGTGGAGCATTGTCTGTAGAAATATGTTCATTTCATTAGTTCATTATTAATTATAAGATACCCATTGCAAATACAGTACTAGGCAACCATCTCAATTTGAAACTTGAAATTAATGTTCAGATGATTCAGTATTACAATGAAAATTCCAATATATCATTTAAAGAAAGAGATTTGAAACTTCTGTCTGTACACAGCCCTGCCAGCAAGACTCCGGCAGAATGAGCAAGATAGAGACTCCCATGACTCCACTGTTGTGCTTTTAAGCTAGACAAGCCCCTTGTCCTGCCTAATTTGCTTCCCTCCATGGGCAGGACAAGTAGCAGAAAGGCTTTTTGGTTTAAGAGATCAATTAATTTATTAATACAGTCAATGACCAGCATAATCAAAGCAACAATATCAAAATCCCAATTACTGTACATTTAGATTTAAAATCCAGAGTCTAAACAGATGATACACACTGTATTTTTTAAAGGGCAGGCATTACAATCTATATTCATTACAGACAATATCAGATTTTACAAGTGGCTGCAAAAAAACTAAAAAACAAAAACTTGAGCTCCGAGCTGTGATCTGTGCAAAACCTTGGCCACCTCTGCATCTGAGCGGTCGGTAAATTTTCTAATCAGGAGGAGGATAAACTTACCACATACTTCCTGGTAAAGCAAGCAGTAAGACATGACATGCTCTGCTCTTGTCCTGTACCACAGGCGCAAACCCTTTCTGATATTGGTATCCGTCTGTAGTGGTCTGATCTAAGAGATCTATGACTCTGCTTCCTCATCCCCCACCCTCCAGGGCACCCATTTTCCACCTCCCCAACTGCTTCTGCATGAGCTGCCCCAAAGATTTGCACAGCAGCTGGGAAATCCACAACTTGCTCTTCCTGTTCACTGCTTTCTGAGTAGGGAGTAGATCAGTAGCAATCTACACTGTTTCAATTGCTGTCAAGAAACTGCAAGATTGTGCTGCAATTATGCCTTTACGTTTTTCCTCAAATGTTTCAAGGCAAATATTTACAAAAAAATGAGACAAAAATGGGGAACTTTTCCACTTTATTTACTAAACACAACCTGAATAAACATACCAAACTGGAGCTCTTTGTAGTGTAGGGGCTGATATTTTGCAACCATTAATATATTTTTGGCATGCATCATCCTTCACTATTGCCTGTGCTTGTTAGGACTGATGGGTTTATATGCATAACTTCCTGAGGGCCAGAAGGGGTCTAACCCCGACTGTAGGACATCAGAACATTTTCTGATGCAAACTGCATTTACCAGTATAAATTACCCTTGGCAAAATTCCTTGATTTGTATGGGAATTTTTCACTGGGAAACTCACATCACTACTACCAGATGCAGAAACCAGAAGACTGGATGCACCATAGACCGGGGAGAAGCTAATGGAATAATGGAACTGTAAGAGCAGGAAACAAGCTAGCTGTGTTCCTACATACAAGCCAGGATGGGACTCACCCAAAGAGGCAAGAAGGAAACACTACTAACCCCTTCATTAATCTAGTTAGAAATGCATGTTTAACTTACGCTCCTTGGAACTTGGTTGGTTATCTATTGTCTCTGCAGTATAGAGAAAAGTACATGAGATTCCATACCATACACTATGGTATAGTCAAGCTGACATATGAAGTTTTAGAAATCTGTTAAAAAAAACCTACTTACGTATCAGGTGCCATTACACTTTAAAAGGATTACAAAAGAAATTAAATTGGTCATTTAGTGCTTTTATTACAAGTAATTAGTATTAAATTACTGTGACCAAAATTATTTCTTTGGGAACTTGAAGTTCAGTATGGTATGCAGGGTGGGATGGGGGGAATTATTCCACTCATAACATCCAGGTTCTCCAAAGTGAACAAACAGGATAGTCAGTGAAGGGTGTAACAGGAAGCCAAAGTAAAAGTACTGTCTGTTTCTTTCTGCAACCATCAGCATACTTCTGGAATTAAAACAGAAAACTGTAATGAAAAGTCTTTAGGCAATGATTCAAAATAAATTTCTTTATTTCAAAATAGTGTTTTATATCAACTGATCCAGTTAATAGAAAGTTTATAAGAGCAAGTAACAAGGGAAGACTTCACAATTGTTCCTTCAACTGCACTTAGTGCTTCTCAACTTTTAATCATTTATGGCTTCCATAAGGCTGGCTCTAGAAAAGTGTTGGAAAACTTTAAGAAATTAAACCTAGAGAAGTTTCTTAAACTATTCACTAATGTGTTCCCCTGCAGAGATAAATATCACAAACTGCTAATATTTCTATGACACACAGTAGCAGGATATATTTAGCATGTCAAACAAATCATAGAGTCAAAATTTTATTTTTGGAATAAGAACTGTTAATAATCTGATGATAACTCAAAGTCACTTGAAGGCTTTATATGTCTGAAGCTAGACAGAACTACCACTTTCAGTACTGGAGTCATTAGAAAGTCTCACATAAAACACAACAAAAAGTAGAAACACCTTTCTTATACTTGTTTTAATATTAAAATCACCTTCCAGGAAGGAGAACTAATTATATTGTTCAGAATTTCCTTATTTGAACTTAACAGTGTAATGCAAGTTCAATTTATGAAGTGCTTTACAAAGGAGAAGAACTTACAAATACACTTTCCAAATATGATGAAAACATAATCTAAACAGATATAATATTGCTAGTCACAATAGTACAGTAATTCATTTTTTCAAGAGTGATACTGAATTCTGCTTAAATATTCCTGGATTAATTAAAGCTTGATATATTGTGGACAAGTGAATACCATACAATGATGGTTTCAGCACAGCTGCACTGAAAACATTAGACCAACAAGACTGTTTTCCATTTCAGCAAATGCACCCTAATGTTTTGCTTGGTTTTGCTGAACATCTGTGTCCAATAATGGGGCAACACTGCCATAGAAAACTTCTTGTGTCATATAAATCACTGAAGGCTCAGGGTAGTGTATATCACACCCACATAAACTCTCTCCAAAGATCATGCACATCTGCCAATTCTGCAACAGGAAAAAAAACTTGCCAGTGCCTTACAAGCCCCCCTTCCCCACAGCAGTAGCACCCCTTCCCCAAAGGGACTGCAGTTTGAAAATGACATAATGCCCCCAAGCATTGCCAGTCAAACAGGATACTTCCTTTACTGGCAGAGAGTGGAAGGGAAAGAAAGTTCATCTGTCAACCACCCCTGTGGGCAGGAACCCAAACTCAACGCTTTAGTTCTATTTCAGATTTTTCGTCTTTGAAATATAATGGATTCAGTCCTACAGTAGCAGCAAGAAATGAGAATGGAACAGTTACCAGAGGAAGGAAGGATATCCTTGCTTCAGTAAACATACAATATTCTGCAAAGCAAGCAATTCCAGGAATACATGTATCTTCTTAAGTTTTGTTTTTCAATAACACATCAGTAGTAAAGCATTGGTAAATCAGTGTTTGTAGGTTCAGGCTGAAGTTTTGATTTTTCTGAAATGAAAAGGAACTGCTGCTTCTTTATTCTGGTCAACAAAACACAGTCTACAGACAAATTCCAAAAATGTGGCAAACCAAAAGCCCACTAGAAAATGTGGACTATTTGGATAACTTGGCTGTTTATTTAAACTGTCTTAATGAATCACAAGAAAATTCAGAATTTAATGTAAGATAGCACCACCTTATTTCAGTTTGTGGAATTCTGGTCAGCTGAAACACTGAGGCAGATTTTGATTATGCCACAAGAATAATTTAATAAGAGTAAAAGAAGAAACATTCTGCCCTCTTCTAAACATTCACTACACCTTTACCTTAAGCCACAGGGTATGACATCTCCTTTAAGGAACTTCAATCTCCATATCAAGCCTTTTCACACAATATACTTTTTATTTTTTAATCACTTAAATCTTATTCATTCTTTGCATGAGGAAGTGCCTCTTAAATAGTTTCCCTTTCTTTTGGTCATTCCAGTTGCCCGAACTCTTGATGTTTTTCACATGAGTCACATCCCAAAACTTCTAGAGTGGTAGCACTGTCATTCTGTTGCATCAAGAATAATAAGTCTTGTGGCACCTTAAAGACTAACAAATTTATTCTGACATAATCTTTCATCCAAAATCTTTTGTCCAAAAGTGTGAGCTTGTTGGCTTGAATGAAGCCATCAGCCAGTAGCGGCTTACAAAATCAGACAAAATCAGTGTCCCTTAAATCACGCCATACAGTATAAAAATAATGTGATGCTGGTAAAAAGTTATTTATGGCTACAGTCCTATACCTGCTTGCCTGGGGCTTACTTTTGAACAGACACACCTAGGGTTATATTGTAAAACATGAACCAAATTGCTAGCAATGCAGACTTAAATTATGTAAAAATAAAGATAAGAAAATAAAGTATTTGTTCACATTGCAGTTAGAAAAACATAAAAGACATATAGCAGTTTTATTTTAAAAAGTATTTGTTTAAACAAAAGCCATTACAATATTTGTATTGAGAGAGTCACTAAAGTGGAAAATCCCACAAGAAATTATTGCTATTTTGTTGTAGCCAAGATGTGTCTATTGTGACCCTTCTGATTTCAATTTCTTTTAGGAACTTTTTAATGATAAAGTGATCAACTCTTTTTTTAAAAAAAAGCCCTACATAACTCTGAAGACCTCCTGTCTTTGTGCAGTTTGGGTGACTTTGAGAGGAAACTTTGCAAAGCCACTCACAGGTACAGAAAATTAGACCATGAAGCATTTGTTCTTGATAGTTTTCTTTTCTTCAGTAATTCTTTAAAAAGAAGTTAACAGTGCACATAACTAGGTTGCTGTGAGAGTATTTAACAGTGTCCTTCAAAAGAGTTTGTTTAAAAAAGAACAAGAACCCTTTCCTTTTTTTAAGATAAAATACCACAAAAAGATAAATTAAAAATTATGATGGGAAGCAAATCCCACAGCATTCCATGCAGATTTCCAAGCAGTCCGATGATTCACAACAGGCATCCATTATGCCACAGTCCATGTCACAAGGGCAGTTGCAGTCGTCCCCCATTTCCTCTCCACAGCAACAGCAACAGGCCTCCGCCGGACAGACACCACACGTCGCTTGTCCCAAGACAAGGCTACAGAGGGTGATAAATTCACAGAACAAACAGGCCAGGATGCAATGCACACAGCAATCTGGAGGCATCAGGGAGAGGGGAGAGGGAGGGAGGGAAAGAAGGAAGGAAGGAAATAAAGCAGTTAAAATGACATGTCTGTGCCCTCTCCGGCAAAGCAAAGAAAAACAACCCTTGTGAGCTGAGGAGCCATCCCAACAAACACTATGCCTTTCCTCCCACATCACATAGCTCACATTCCTTGCCTGCCACTGATTTGCTGCTCAAGGAGTCCAGAGGCTCAGGATGGAGGTGCAAAATGCATTTGCAAATTATAAGAAATTTAGCACATACCCAAAAAATGGCAGCACAGTGTTAACATTGCTCATCCATTAAATGGAAGCCTTATCTAGCCTGCAAACTTTAAGGTAGAATTCCCAAGCAAATCCAGCCTAGCAAATAAAAAGACACAATCTAACACATCTGCATAGTACCAGGTTAGGAAAGGCTGGCCTAAGTATGTGATACTTTAAATTTCTCAAGCAAGCTGCTCAGCTTTTGTTCCGGAAAGTGAACATTACAGCAGATTTGTGGAACCAGTGGCCCTCAAGCTGATGCCAGATTATAGCTTGCACTGCCCAGCTTACTGACCATGTTATCCTAGGCTGATGGAAGTTGGGAGACTAACAGTATCTGAAAGTCCAGAACTCTCCCAATTGTACTTTTAAGAATTTGCAAGATGGTTCTACTTGTGTAGGTACTATATTAGCATTTTAAAATTTACACTGTTTCCTTTGTTTTAATTCAGTATTTAGTAATCTGAACATAAGATACATTCCATGGTTTTAGAAATTTGGAATAAAAATTAAACAACTTTTTGAGGGAGTCAAGGAAAGTATAATTTTTCTCAATAAAGTTTAATAAATGTGTGATTTTTTTTCTTTGCATCAACTGATGTAAAATTGTTGGCAAAAGGTTTAATCAGGCAGAATATTCAGAAGGTATGTGTTACTTCCATATATATGCAGTTTGGCTTAAATATTTTAATACTGTCATACCTACAAGTGCTGAACATAAATACACACAAACACTTAAGGCTAATGCAATAAAAAGAGTGGATGTGTGAATTAAAAGAGATTCCTTACATAAAGAACAAATGTACCTCTATGTGACCTTCATCCCATGCTCAGCAGATATGACATGCGACATGAAGAAAGAAATACAAGATCAGCTAAGAGGACGAAAGCTAGATTGATAGGGATTAATTAGCTTGTTGTCATGGAAATTGTGGTTGAATAAATCTAACACAATTTGCTCTCTGATATATTTTCAATATAAAGACGGAACAGAGAGGAGCAATACTTGTATAGGCTTCAATACTCATTCAAGATAATTAGCTTATTTTAGTATTTTCTCCCTTATCTTGACAATACAATGCAAAGAGCAAGTGAAAAGTTAGTTAGCTGATTTATACCCTGCTGTCAGGGTATAAAGGGCAGTTTTCAAAGAGGGTAGTTTTCAAAAAGGTAAAATTACAGTACTGAAAAATAGTAAAGTATAAAGCATACATCTGATTAAGAAAATGTCACTAGTATCAAGATATAAAGTTTGTAAGAGAATATGAACATATGGTTATGATGCAATAACAATCAAGATGTACTATAGGCTCAGTTTTCAGGATTTCAAAGTGGAACCCACCCTGGGTAGATGGGTAGGGCCACCTAAGCAACTTTTTAAATAAAGCAGAATCAGTTCTGCAATGAGCTACTGCAGTCTGTTTATGTAAACAGACAGGAAGCAGTGATCTAAGTAAGTATTCTTTATTCTGGGCTAATTAGCAAAGGATAAAGTGGTCTTGGCATGCCCAATTGCACAAAGAAATGAAGTATTAGCATGATTCTAACTGTGAGGAGTCTTAATACAGATCATTTTTTAAATTCTTCTTTTAATGCACATTCTCTTCACTGAGGAGAATGTAGGTACTTCCCACAGCTATATTTTGCTATTCTTTTTCAAACTCCCTATACAAAGCTGTATTTTTCCTTTATTGTTTACATTGTAACTTGCAAAAGAAAAGAGCTGGGCCGGGAAAACCCTTTCAGTCTAAGCACCTAATTCCAGTCAAGGAAAGATCCATCAATGGTGCACTGCCAAAGGCAAAGTGGCAGAGATTTTGGCACTGGGTGTGATTGCCCATTCAAAGCCTACTCAGAAAAAAGCAGAAGAGGATTCCTGCACAGGGCCTGCCTGCTCTCCTGCAGGGGATCGCCTTTATCTTTTATCTATAATCAGCAGCTGATAAGACCCAGGAATGTTTTCCTGCTGCATAGTAACAAAGCCTTCCTCTCTCACTGAGCTGCATATAAATGCTCTCCTCAGTAGTTGACTGGAGCTGGGCTACTTCTGTCCTACAGGCCAGAGGTTCCCCTTCCATTTAGTCAAGGCTCTGAGAGTGGGAAATGGAAGTAGAACTGATATACAAAACATCACTTTATCACTTTTTCCCTTTCCTAAACTGGATCCCTGCATCACACAGCATCATTCTCTAAAATGCATGAATGACTGCTGTTCAGAGAAAGAGCCCAGATGTCCCACTGGAAACAAACAAGTTCTCTGGCATGCCTAAAAGGGATTTCCTGACCATGCTTAATTCTGCACAAAAGATTCTTGTACTTTAGAATTAGGATGCTGAACAAGAATTAGGATGTGGACACGTGGAGTAGGGAAAATGTTTGGGTACATTACTACAGAACCAGCGGCAAACAGGGTGGCATAATTGTTAAAGTGCTGGAATGGGACTTGGGGTACCTAGCTGCTAGTTTCTACTCACCATGAAGATCACTGGGTGACTCTGGACCTGTCCCTGACTTTCAGCCTAACCTACCTCACATTTATTTATTTATTTATTTATATTGTGATTTATATCCTGCCTTTTTCCTCAAGGGCTCAAGGCAGCTTACATCATTCTCCTCCTCCATCTTATCCCCACAACAACAACCCTGTGAGGTAGGTTGGGCTGAGAGTCTGTGACTGGCCCAAAGTCACCCAGTTGGCTCCATGGCTGAGCGGGGACTAGAACCCTGGTCATCTGAGTCCCAGTCCCATGCTCTTAACTACTACACCACACTGGCTCTCAACATGGATGTTGAAAGGATAAAATGAAAGAAGAGGATTCTGTGAAGTGCTTTGAGTTTGGTGCAAGTAAAAGATGGGATATAACTTTAATAAATAAATTTTTAAAACACAGATATTCCATTCAGCTACAATGGCCAATAAATTGATAAGTAACTCTTCTATGAATTTCCCCTTAAATCATCTAAGCTAGTGGCACTGAATGCTATAAAATAATTGCTACCTTCTTTTATCAATTCTAAATTAACTTCCAGTCAATTGCACTGAATAGAGCAAAGTTGAGGGATATTTCATGTTCTTGGGTGTCTCCTGCCAATCTTATCTGTGTCTATTCAGAAGCAAGTCCCACTGAGTTCAATGGGACTAATTTCCAGGTAAGTGGGTAAAGGACTGAAGCCTAAGTCATCTTTCTTCTAAGTAAGAATCCCTAAGTAATAATAACTATTTGAAAGTTGTTCATCCCTTTTGATCTGGTTTGCACCTTTTCCAGCTCTATGGCATCTTTTTGAAGATAGGTAGAACAGAACTGTATACAATATTCCAAATGCAGGGTATATTAAAGCATCACCGCACTGTCAATATTTTCACCTCCTTTCCAAATAATTCCTAGTGTGGAATTTGATTTTCCCTACTTTTATTCGACATTTTCATCTAATATCTATCCTGACTTCAAGATCTTTGTTAATCACAGCCAGCTGTAATATCAGAGCATAAGTGATTTATTTTTGTTTTCTTTTTTTCCTCAACACACATCACTTTGCATTTACACCGGACTTCATTTGCCATTGTTTTACCTCATCTAATCAGTTCAAAGAGATTGCTCTGAAACTCTTTACTTTTATGCTTGATTTTTCACCATCCTAAGTAATTCAGCTTCATCTCTACAAGTGTGCAATTTTATTGCTCACCACTGAGGAATAAACACTGGTCTACTGCAATCCTTGGGGACCCCATTACTTCTCTCTAGTATGCTTACTGTTCATTCATTCATACACTCTACTTGTTATTCTTTAACAATTTAATCTGTAAAGTCATCCCTCCTCTCATTCTACAGCTTCAAAGTAACCCATAAACTCTTGGAGAAGGACAGAAAGTCTAAATATACAAAATCACAAAATCATCCTGTTTAATGACATGCTGAAAGAATACTAAAAGTTTGGTGAAACAAAATTCATCTTTACAGAAGCCATGCTAATTCTTTAAAGGCAAGGCTTATTCTTCCATATGTTTAATATAAATTTTACTATTCATTCCTAACAGTTTATTTCAAATGGACATTAGGCTAATAGGTATGTGATTTTCTGGCTATCTCCTGGATTGCTTTTTAAAAACTGGTATGGTATGGACTGCCTTCCAATTTTTCAGCAAGGAAGACTTGATTACAGCCTGCATAATTTTGTTAAAAGCTTGAAAATTTCATGTTGGGGGGGAGGTGAATTTCTAACTCTTAAGTAGGACTTTTATGGCAAATATGCAGAGTTACAAAATCCTGGTCTGGGTCAGATTTTAGCTAGCTATATTTGCAGAGAGATCAGGAGACTCAAAGGAAACCTCTAAGCATTCTGCTCTATCACAGCAAGAATCAAACAGACAAAACCATTATCAAAGTGGCAGCTCAGGTCCTCAACAAGGCTTCTCTCAAGGCCCATGCAGAGATGGGAACAGAAGTCTCAGCAGGGGTTACAAGACTCATACAGACACCAGAAAGAGGCAAGTTGAAGGCCAAGGTTAAACAGTGAATCTCCAGTAATGTTAGGGGGAGCAGAGCCAAGCCTCAGCCAAAACTGTCTAACTGTTCATGAAGAACAAGAAGCTTTTAGAAGGAGGTATAAGCTGGTAAAATAATCAAATGTAAAAGCTGACTGAAATACCCGTGTTAATTACTTTTACAAACATGAATCTATTCTTATACATATTTATTCCTGATGATGACACAGATACATAAGATAA